ACCATTTAATTTTCACTTTCAATCTCCTGAAGACAGAAAACTTAATTTTGTCAAAATTAACATTAACAATCAGAAAATCATATTATATTCTAATCACACTGAAACGATTATAAAATATTTTGTAACTAATCTAAATAATCACAAAACACAGAATAGGAGCGGGCATCTCGTTTATTGACGCAGCGAGCGCAAAGCGTTACAAAACCAGCATTACAGTTTTACAAACTCAGAGAAAATTACAACAGTAAATAAGATAAAAAACTAGGGTTGAAAGAGATGCCTCGAATGGCTCTTGCTTAACTTAACGAACCTTAAATAGTGTACTAGCCTCTTGAGACACCTTACAAGGACGCTTAAAACACTTCAGCAGTATTACATTTATGCAACCTAATATACTTACTCTTGTGAAACTAACAAAACGTTACAAAATATGTTTATATTGGCGAAACTAGACGCCACTTCTCTACTAGGATAATGGAGCACACGGAAAGCGATAAAAACTCGCATATTTTTAAGCATTTCAACACATCTCCTTCTTGTAAGATCAAAGTCTCCCTTTCTTGCTTTAGTATTCTGGATTCTGCTAACAACTCAGTTGATTTAAAACGCGAACAAGCTTTTTATACAAATAAGACCAAACCTGAACTTAACAAACAATTACAACATTATAACACTTTTCTAGCGTTTTAGTTCACACCTTTGATGCTTGGTGTCACGTTGTAATTAGTACCCGCCTTTGTATTATATCATACTGTGAATATTTTAGTCATTGAATGAAGATGGCATAAGCATGCCGAAACATGTCTCTCAAAAACTTGTCTATTTCTTACAATATTTATCATACTGGCTACTACTACGACCTTATGAAATTATTATTGTCGCAGAGAAATCAACTGAATGCTACATTCTAATTAGGCAGCACAGGGCGAAAACCGTAACCTGTGAGCCATGGAGTAAAAAATAAATGTACATTAACTAATCCTAAAAAGCTTTTCCATTGTGTCTACGGCCCTCCTTCTAACAGGAACTCAAACTGCCGCTTGACAGTCCGGGAAATATTCAGCGTGCCCGAGAGCACTGCCCTCTGCATCTCTCGCAGTACGTCTGTGCTTCTGCCTCCCACCAGCTCGCGCTTCATGACATCCAGCTCCCGTGACCACCCCCCGAGGGCATCCATAACGATGTTATATTGCTTCACCTCGTAGCCTGGGAACTGCTGCCTTAGTTCCCAGCGAAGAGGTCCGTACCTCAGTGTCTTCTCTTCATCCTTTCTTGTCCGATTATTAACCCACCGGCAGCTCATTTCCAGCGTCACAACTCTCTTGCGCATATGATTTACAATGCGTGCATCCACCCTATTGCATCTGACCTCTTGTTGATCAGCATATAGAGGGAAATCCCAATAAGCTTTAACATTCTCTGACTCATACACGGGCTTCGGACTTGTCGGGTGAGTACCAGGGTGGTATCTCGTCTATAAATCCCTCATCATACAACAGTTCGTAAAACAGTACCTTCAGTGCTGCGTCTTGTCTAGAGATATACTTGCTCTGGGCCAGCGCACTGCATCCTGACAGGATATGTGTCACACTCTCTGGAGCCTTGCCGCATAATCTGCACCTCACCTCGCCTTCCCCGCTTGTGTGGGTCTTCTGACTCGTGTATACTCGCGTTGGCAATAGCTGCTCGTATAGCTCGATGAGTCCAGCAATTGTGTGTGATGGGTAGTTCTTCCACTCTGTGAGCCACCAGAAACACCCATCGGCACTCAAACTCTCATCCTCCAGCCTAGTAGTCACTAGACGCCCTTGCCATCGTTGGTTTTTGATCTCATCCTTTAACTTCTCAATTTGGCACCTCTTCACCTCTTTCTTGATCCCTTGCACGTGTTCCAAATCCAACTCCAGCCCCAACTCCTCCGCGCACTTAGCCGCTTCGTTAAAAATTGACCTACGCCCCATCCTTGCCTCTTGCTCTTCAAACTCCCGTACCATTCCCAGTGCACGATCTTCATTACCATGGAGTCTGACTGCACCCTTGATTTTTGTGGCTTTGTACTCCATTTCAACAGAGCGCAATCCCCGCCCTCCT